TGTAGCTATGTGTCCTATGCTCTTTTGTCTTGTTGGCCTCTGGGATGGTCCCACAGCCACAGAGGCAAGGATTCCCAAATGGATGAACCTTTCCCCAGTGAAGTTTAAGTCCTCTCTCTCTCCACAAGTACCTAATAATTCTGGCTCTTGGGAAAAATGTCTCACCTGATGGCACCTTTTTTCCTTTGTTTATGGAGTGGTGGAAGATCAGGCGTGCCATCTTGAGTAGTTTGTGCACAAAGAGGTCTCGAGTTTTCTCTCCTTGCAGAAAGCTGAGAAAATCTTTTCCCTGCTTGTAGTTCCCTGTCCTAAACTTTCTTGTCCTTTTTGCCCCTGGGATGGCCCTTCAGCCATGGAAACAAGGATTTCAAAATGGAAGGACCTTTCCCCAGGTAAGTTTCAATGCTTTCTCTCCCTACAATCACCTGAAAGTGCTGGCTCTGGGGAACAGTGTCTCACCTCATATTGTATTTTCACAGCCAACTGTTACTTAAATGTACCCCAAATTTACCAATTTCTTTGCTCTTCACTGCTTACTGTATCTATCCTCCTACTGCTTTCTATAGCTCTGAGTCACATACTCTCTTGTCATTTTGGCCCCTAGGATGGTCCCACAGCCACAAAGGCAAAGACATCCAAATTGAGGGACATTTTCCCAGTGAAGTCCTCTCTCAGTCCTCTCTCTCTCTGTCCATAAGTACCTGATAATGCTGGTTCAGGGGGAAAGTGTTATTTATATGTTGTTAAGTGCCATTGAGTCATAGGCAACTCATAGCAGTCCTATGAAGGAAAGTCCTCAACACGTGTGTGACTTTCATCCTTTCTCCAGGTTCATAGGATTTCTGGAGGCAAGCTATTGTGGAATTGGACGCCACTCCTCCTTCCAAGCTTGTTTGAATCAGGGAGTTCCACCAAACACTGTCCGCCATGGGTAACCATTAACACGTTTGACACATCAGTGTCACAGTGTTCAGCTTCACACTGTTATTTATATAAAAGGTTATTTATCTTTATAAATAAAGTGTTTTTATATAAAAGGTTATTTTTTTCCTTGCTGATGAGCAGCTTTTGTATGATGATTCTCAGCCTTCCTAAAATGGATGAGAATCCTAAAAGTCTCAAAAACACTAAATATTGAAGTTCTACCCAGATTGATAAAGTAAAATAAAAATAACTCAGGTGCTGAATTTAGGTCTCAGAATATTTTTTCACATGTATCCAAATGATTCCTATGTCAGAAACCATGAGTTATTCTTTCAGTTACACTTTGAGCACAATGGTCAATCTATGCTTGATAAGACCAAGCCAAAGCAAAGGCTGATGGTTTGAATCCCGATGCTACTTAGTGGGAAGCAAATAGGCTGTCTCGTGTGCAAGTTATAGCCTCTGAAAACATGCTGGAGGATCAACTATGATTCAACATCTCTTGAGTAGTAATTTAACTCTATATTACATTCAGACTAAAAGAGCTACATGTTCTTGATGCTTGTAATATTTTTCTATCGTCTTCCGGTATCTATTTTGGTTTTGAGAAGACAAGACAAATTATTAAAGCCAGTTCAATAAAATAGAGCTTATTGCTTCTTGGTCAGCACCTATGATCCTAATGTTTTATTTTACTCCTTTAAATTGTAAGACTGTGACCCTCCCATATTTTTCTCTTATGTTCGTTAATTTTGTTTGCCTATTAGACAGAAAGTTGGCTTTTACTAGCTATTTAGTATCCGATCTCCAGCTACCTTAACTGCAGACACTTGATCTTGCAAATCATCATTGACTTGTTAATCATCAGCTGTGAGAGGGAAAGAGTGCTTCTCAGATACAGCAGCAGATTTGAGATGAAAAGACTTGAAGTGAGCAGGGATTGTGGCACCAAGACCTGGTAAGAGTTAGACACTGGTGGAGAGACTGTGGCATTGCTAAGGACAAACAGTGGCAAGATGTGACAGGCTTCTTGCATTTGTACTGGTCATAGTTTAATTTTGCTATTCTTAATTTTGATAATGGGAGGAAAAGCTTCTTGCTGAATTGAAACTGGAACCTTGACAGAGGAGTAGTGCCTTAAAACTGTTGGGCTAAAAGTTGGAAGTATTTTGAGTGATGTTTTTATGTTCTTTGCCTCTCTGACTCTCCAAATTCCTTTCCTAATAAACCCCACTGTTGGTACCACAACTGTGAGTCTGTGCGTTAGCAATAAATAAAAGGACCTCTTGCTATTGGTGGAGCTCTACAGGCATCATGGGGCTGGGCTATAGGCTCCTGATCTGCTTTCTGCTCTTGGATGGCGAGGGGCCATGTCATTCTTGCTCTCTCTGGCCCTTTCAGAGAGATGCTCATGCCCTTGTGTCCCCATGGCCTGTTTTTCCCTGCTTAGACAACATGCTGTGACAAATATTTAGACTGGGAAATAGGATTTCCAAAATCAGTTCAGCCTATCATATTAACTGAAGAACTTTCCCTTTGTTTTAAAAATGAACTTGAATGCTATAGATCTTCATCTGTCTTGAAATAACTGCTGGGTTAGAATAGAGCTTGACTTATCTGTTAGTACCACTTTCTCCTACATCATACAGATTTTTCTAGACTGTTTCATATTCATAGCAAATATCATATAGTTTATATCTAAATAACATCTTATCCTCTTCTTAGTTTGTTTTAAAATCTTACTTTTCTGGTTGGAAAACTGTCTTGGAATCTTTTCCTGGATAAAGGACTGAATTGTCTAGACCTAAATTAAGAAATTTCTATGTCCTAGAAAGATTTGTTTTATTAAGACTTCTTCCTATTCTCTGCACTTATTTTCATATGTCCAATATAAAATAAAGGGAGTTAATTTACTAAATGAATGTTGTATCTAGTTAAATATACAACAGAATGTTGCCATATAGAGATTTATTTTATTATTTCTGTAATTAATTGCAGCAGTAATACTATTATAAAATATCATTTTTTGACACAAAGCTGTCTCAGTTTTGTCGTGTTGGTTTTTACCCCCCTTTAAATGCAGTAGAAGACCCTTCACACTCTATTTGTCAGTTTGGCTTTAAGGTTTTCATTTTGTTGGCTAGAAGACAGATAAAGGGGATTATGGACAGAACTGAGCCTGGTTTCTGTTAATCTCCAACTTGAATTCTTTCAAGGGTTGCAAAATATGATTCAAGTATTTCACAAGCCTTTATACCCTGAGCCAGACTTTGTCATCTGTCTGGTATATGTGCCATCATGGGTGGATTTGGGACTGACATTTTCTATCTCTGATCTCAACTACATAAATATTTGTTTAGAGTGACTATCAACACAGCACACAGGCATCTTCTTCTCTGATGTATGAATGATAGAATAGTCCTTTACTGAGGCCCTGTAGATTGGGCAGGCATAAACTATCAGAGGGCAATGAGGCAAATTTTCAGTGATTTCATATCTTATGTTTTACCACAGGTAGAATGAGGAAGAGTTGCTTTTGTTTGAGAGAATTATTAATTGTGATTTGGCTTGTATTACTGGTATCTCACAGATTCAGCCATCCATCTGAGTTTATTATGTGAACAAGTTTTCCAAAACAGTTTACATGTGGAGTTTTTATTCATTTTTCAGTTAAGAGTCAAGATTATCCTATCTATTATCATCTTAAATAATATCCTATAGAAGATTGTCTTAATCAATAAAGAGAAAGGAAAAACTTAGCTCATGTTGTCTAAGTAATATAATCCTTACTAAACTTAAAAACTAAAGCAGCTGCTGCAAATTGATGTCCATTCATGGTGAAGCTGTGGGCTGCAGAGTAAAACTTCTGCACAGGATTTTCAAAAAGAGCCCTGGTAGGGCAGCGGTTAAGTGGTTACTACTAATTCAAAGGGTGGAGGGCCAGCACAGGAGAGAAAGATCCTCGATGAGATGGATTGATTCAGTGACGGGGGTAACGGGGGTAGGAGTGTTGGAGAAAGTGAGATTGGCACTGGGTAGAGCAGGATGTAGGGCTGTTTGTACATAATGTGCTATGAGTCACAGGCAACTCAACGGCACATAACAACAACAGTCAAGTGCTTAATCTCAGGCACCATGGAGGGATTTGTTTATTAAGTGGATTCATTCATGATAACCAATTGAATTCAATACTGTAAATATAATTAAACTTGGTAAGTTTTTGTAAATATACTAGAATCAATATTTTAAATAAGAAATGGATAATCAGAAGTAGCTTAGTAAATAGAAATGACAAACATTCAAAATACTGAAATAAATTCAGAATACTAAAAATCTTAGAATCTTTTAAAAGTCCCCTATTTCTACCTGAGTGGTCTAGAACACAGAGTATGGTCTGCTCAATGAACAACAACAAATGAAAAACTTTGTGCTTCTGGCAGTTCAAATTGACCAGTGGTTGGTTACTTGGGAGTGTCCTTCCATTAAGATTTACAATCTCAAAACCACATGTACAGCCTTTATGACTCAGAACCAACTTTATAGCAGTGCATTTGAGTTTTGAGTGATTTCTACCATATATCTATATATTGATGATTGATACCTTACATTGACTTAAACTCTTCCCTAAATGTTATTTGATTTTCCACATATATTCAGAGAATAAAGTTTTAAATTTTTTAGTCATATTCATTCATTCATTCATTCATTAACTTTGCTAAGCATATGTATAGATTGGGCTAAAGAGATGAATAATGTGGCTCAAAATTCCAGGGAAACTAAAGAAATAATCCCCAAATAATAATCTAAACTGAAAATGTAGAGGTTTTGCTAGAAAAACTTTTTTTTTGCCAATTTTAAATACATCTTTATTTGAGACATTGCATTTTCCACTTACAATACCGTGATAATAACGGCAATGGTAATTCCTTTCCCTATACACATTCCATATTCAAGTATTGAGAATGCCCAGAAATTTAGTCTAGCAGTTTAGACTTTTCAACTGCAGTGTGCTACAAATTTGGGTCCTTCAAAATTTAACTGTGGGACAATGAGTGCTATGATGTATGCAGATTGGTTTAGTCAACCTCTTCAATGGTGGGTCCAGAAGAGGCACCACCAGATGGAGGAGCTCCACCACCAGGGAAGCCACCAGGCATGCCTCCGGGCATGCCTCCAGCACTCTGGTACAGCTTGGTGATGATGGGGTTGCAGACCTTCTCTAGTTCCTTCTGCTGATGCTCAAATTCCTCCTTTTCTGCAGTCTGATTCTTATCAAGCCAGTTGATCATTTCATTGCACTTGTCAAGGATCTTCTGCTTGTCCTTGTCATTGATCTTGCCTTGAAGCTTTTCATCTTCAACTGTTGCTTTCATATTAAGTGCGTAAGACTCAAGGGAATTCTTAGAAGACACTTTATCTCTTCGAAAAAAAAAAGAAGACAACTTATCTCTTTGCTTCTCATCTTCAGCTTTGTACTTCTCAGCCTCCTGGACCATTCGTTCAATGTCTTCCTTACTCAAGTGGCCCTTATCATTGGTGATGGTAATCTTGTTTTCTTTCCCAGTGCTCTTGTTAACAGCAGAAACATTCAGGATACCATTGGCATCAATATCAAATGTGACTCCAATCTGAGGAACACCACGAGGTGCAGGTGGTATCCCAGTGAGCTCAAACTTGCCAAGCACGTTGTTATCTTTGGTCATGGCACGCTCACCTTCATAGACCTGAATGAGTACACCAGGCTGGTTGTCAGAGTAGGTTGTGAAGGTTTGTGTCTTCTTGTTAGGAATGGTTGTATTCCGCTTGATGAGGACAGTCATGACTCCACCAGCAGTTTCAATACCAAGAGAAAGTGGAGTGACATCCAGGAGCAGCAAATCTTGAACATTTTCAGA